AGCGCGTTAAGGAATTACTTAATCATGGCATGATGATGCTAAACATATCTAGCTTAACGGAACGACGTTCCAGCGAACCAAAGACAGCGGAGAGAGACAAGGACAAGTCTGACAAATCTGAAAAGTCGGAAGTTAAAGGAAAGAAAGTCCCAAGTCCGTTAGAAAAAACAATGAGCTATCTCAATGCTGACGAGGAGACGTCGGACAGCGAAAGTTTAGCTAGGTAAATTTATACTAATGATAAGATATATTCTCATCAATCAACGATATTTTAATTTTTCTTTCTTATCAAACTTGCGATTAGCGTGGAGATGCTAACAGAGGATCAAATCTCTTCACTCATGATGGAGCCGGATATGAATCAAGTATGCCAAGAGGTTCTGGGAACTCCCTTAGTCGAAGTATGTCCGTTGTTGCAACAATTACAGCAACAATAGCCTTATCAGCAGAGGAATTTGCACGACAAAGTGGCAAAGATTCAACAATAGAAAGTGTTCAAGATCATTATAAGTCGGTAACATAATTAAGATACATCTCCTTTCTGTTACGTTACTATATTGTTATGTTTCTGTCTATTGCGTGTCGTAGATTTTTCTGTTATGTGATATAAATAGGGTAAAGCAGGGCAAAGTAAAGGTTATATTTCTAGGCAATCGTCAGATTGATTCCGACATTATTTATGGGTTTTACTTGGTATGATCAAGTTATTTTATTACTTGGAAAAGTAATATTTATATGCTTAGAGAATATAATCGGTTAAGGCTTTTACTCAATTCAGAAATCAAAGAACCATTTACGTTAAAAATGTCTCATTAACTTCTCGGGCACTACAAAGCCTAACGTCATTTTTTGTGGATACGCTTACACGATATCTCAGCTTGTGAAGAGTGTTTTCGAACTTATTCTATAAAATCTTTCTAACATTTAAGATTTGGTAAAACTATGAAACATCAGTCGCTGAGAAAGCAATATGTAGTTACTTTTCTAGAATATTGTGTAGTTTAATCTAGATACTCGTACACAAATTTATTCCAAGTCGCATCGACTATTTTTTGCTTGCCTTTACATGCGACTACTATCACGTTAAAATCTCTCGGAGCGTTTAACAAATATATTAGAATATTGTACTATCACAGCGAAATATCAAACAATCTAGACAAATTAGGTGAACAAAACAAGGGTTACGTTCACCACGCTACGTTCGAAGATAACCAAAGGTTTAATAAGATCCTTTTCTAGTAATGTAGATTAACTTTAATTTCGATTTAATTTATTCTTTATCTTTTTCTAATTTTTTGAACTAGTTAAGATAAAAAGTAAATTAACCCGAGATTAAAGTTAATTTTTGTTGGTAGAAATGGGCACAGGATAAGCACTTCCTTGTCTCTCTCTATCTCTTCTTCGTCAAAATACGATCGGTCGGTCCACTAAGTTACTCGCGAAGCGTACGAAAGAAAAAAAAACATATATAGAAAGTTACAAGATGCCAATTATGACTGCGATGGTCAGATTATCTTTAATGCGGAAGTGTATATATAAGCATAGCATAATAATAACAATTCTAAACGTACATAAATCTGTGTGCAAAACGTACTGTTGGCATCGTAAATACCTGAGAAGTACTCGTTTTGAGTTTCATTAATATAATTCGTTACGCGAAGCTGTACGTTCGATCAGTGACAGTACGTTTTGAGCACAGATCAGAATTCTCGCGGCTTTTTGGCAGTCACGCTGTTTCATATACGAAGCTTCGCGACGTAAGTAAGACAGTATTCACTCCAATCAGGTTGAGCAAGATATTTTTCAATATTTTTCGTTCTGACGCGATAAGGACGAGGCGTACCTGTCAATAAGTATCTTACGGCTGTCCCGAAATCGCTGTGTGAAAAGCGAATGTTATACAAGTTATTATGAACAAAATAGTCTGGATAGTCGAATGATACTCGATGATGGTAATAATAATAGATCGAAGGTTTGCTCGAACGGATTCAAGCACTCGGAATGAGTGAAATTTAAATGTAGCTCCATCATTTTTATTGCTGCGTATTGTGATATAGCTCTTAGCGATTTTAGACATTCAGTTTTGGATTATCCAATCGTCGAACGAAAACATTAGTGCAAAGGATGCATGCAATATGCTATTTATAAAGAGTAATATATACATATATATATATATATAATATAAATTAGTAATATATATACACATAAATTATTTATATATAATTTAAGTTATATATACATATACAGATCCTATTTATTTTGAGCGTAATGTTCTGTAACCGGCGTTAATTGACACTTTTCATACAGCGTTCGTCAATTTTTATAAGGACGGTGGCAATTGTGCTTCTTAAGGGATTGTTTTATGACTCGCGACTTGTCAAAGGATTTCTCTGTGTATGTCGCGTGAATGTGCAACATTGTTTAATTACAAATAAGTGTTGCAGCTATCAAGTTCCACTTGGCGCACGCAATGCTCGCAAGCATCATTTCATTCTTGTTGTTTATAAAATATTGAACAAAGATGCACGCGAGTTTTGTTGCAAACGCCAAGTGGAACACATCCCAGAATTCGCTATCAGAAAAATGTTGTGTGTTACACGTGTACAGACAGACTCACGCAGATGTCATTATTGCCACTCTTCTGTATAATCAATCTATTCGAAAGCCGGCGATCGCGCCTTAATATTAAAGTTGGCGCCGAATCGCGAGTCCGAATATTTCCACGTACGTACAAAACACAAGCATAATTCGCTCATTTGAATTATTCGCTCGAAAGACGTAGGGAAATGAATAAAAATGAGACCATGTTGTCTTTGCCGATCTTAATTATTTTCGCTCACACTTTCCGTTCATATATATAGAGGTTGTAACGTGCACTGTTAAATTCATAATGTGAAATTATATCTATAATTTGAGTTATTTTTAATTTCTATAAGTCGCCACTGCTCCTATTTGATGTTAATTTAACTAAAACAATGAAGCGAAATAATTTAACTCAAGAAAATTATTATTAAATTTGACTCTCTTTCAAATTTAGTTCATTATTTACTAAATGCATACGTTAATATGAACGTTATTTACTTTGAAATTAATTATAGAAATTAATTAATTTACATTTTGATACACATGCATTGCGAGAAAAATGTACTAAATAATTATTTGAATATTAATATTAATATTTATATTTTAATATAATATTGAATATTAATATTTTAATATAACATTCGCTTACTCGTTTATTCGGAAGATAAATATTTACTAAATAAAAAAATATAATAGTTAAATCAAATTAATAATTCTTGTATCAAATAAATGTTTACATTTAGTAAATATTCAACTAGCGCTATTCAAACAAATATTTATTAAAATTTAATACATTTTTCTCTCAGTGTGAAAGTTAAAAATAACAAAATATTATTTAACTCAAAGGATTGTGTTCCTCTCCCCTACAGCACAAAAGTTGCAGCAACATTGCGGCGTTATTGCAGCGATATTGCTGTAAGTTCTGGGCTGATATATCTAAGGCCGGAATCAGACTACGCATTGAAGATTGAGATCGAAGATCGAAGATTGAAATTTGAACAATGAGGACAAAGGAATTTTAGTTCCTATTGTTTTTATTGATCAAATTTCAATCTTTCAATCTTCAATCTCAATCTTCAATGCCTAGTCTGATTCCGGCTTAATAGTGTACAACTTGATATGAATAAAGATTATAAAAATTTTGTTAACGGCGGAATATCGAAGGCTGGAGATCGTTCGTCGAAATTCCACATAATCACAGCGTCGTCGCGCTCGCGAGATGTATTTTTTGTCCCGCGTTTTTCAGTAACTACGATACAGCGAGCGGGGACACGCACAGCGATAGCGATAACAAATTGTATTGTACATACCTAATATTGTATATGTGAATGTAACTATGTATATATACATCATTATCCTCCATTAAAACCTCATTACGAAAAGCGTAAGCAGAAACGCGCGTCTAACGAACATGATTCACCCGTCGAAACCCGTTGGAATTCAGGGTATCGATCATGAAACTTTATCCCCCCCTAGGATGGAAAGTGAAAATTTTTACCATTGAAATTAATGGAGAAATTTTTCACTTTTCACCCTAGGGAAAAAATTTCATAATTGATACTCAGAACGGCTGGCTCCAGTTCGAACGCAACTTCACGCTGCACTATTCTCGCGAGTGTAATCGCCATTTGCTTCTGTAAAAATAGATAAACGATAAATGCCATGCTTACCATGGCGTCATTCAACATATTCAGATTAAAGGATCGATATTACGTATCTTGAAATGAGATGAAAATTGCAAAAGTGAACGGATTTACTAGAATGTTCGTAACGGTCTAATAATAAAGCTCATTTTTGTAATTTTCATTTCATTTCCAGATATATGTAATTGAGCCTCTGCATTTTTACCAATAAGTTATATCACGATATTAAACATTGAGAGAAAAGAACAGAAAATATAAGGTCGGTGCGAATAAAATTGTGCAACAATTAATTAACTTATTACACTTCAATTATTACAATTATTTATATTATTCCAATTCTTAATTAATTGTTGCATTATTTCGTTATAAAACCTTTCAATTATTAATTGTATTTTATTCACGTATCAATTACCGCGCTGAACTATTTACGGTTTTTCCTTTTAACATTTTTCTCGAGTCACCTATTTTGACTCACCTCGTTCGTTCGAATTCAAATCGCCGATTGGATACGCCATGATCGCAGTCGTCGTCCGGAGGAACGATTCGACAATTAATTTCGCAAAAAACGAGCAGACATACGTCGTCCGGACGCAACGATGCGATCAGACGCCGAAGCGCAACGGCCGCGGGACGACGCGACGCAATACGCAATTCAAACGTATTCAGTTACCAGACGCGACCGTTTGAAACGTAGTTGGCGCGACGGCCGAGTGGCGGCGCGCGCAGCGGCGCGACGAACACCAACCGCCATGATGGGGAAACGAAAATGGCGTCGCGTGCACGGTGCCGATGATCCCTCGTTTCGCCGCGTTTGTGTTCGGGTAGTTGCGTTGTACGGCGTCCGACGGAGCGTCTTAACGACAACGACGACGGACATTAATCTGCGTGTGTAACACGAGAATCGCTCGTTGAATAACCAGGTTCGCTTGGCGGTCGTGCCGCACGTACGGCCGTTACGGCGAGCGGCGGTAACGACGACGACGACGACTACGAGGACGACGACGACGACTGTCGCAGTGACGGTGATTAAATCGTGCAGACTTGGTCAGTACCGACGGACTCGCGATAATCCTCGTGTTATTTCCTTCTCGCCGCGAGAACCGAACTCGTCTCCGTTGGCATGACGAAGGACGCGAGATCTCTGTTTCCTACGGCGAGGTAATGTGTGTTGACGTGCGCGAGTGAAAACACCTCTCCGCGTATCGTCCTTGTCCCGCTTGCGATCGAGGGACGACCCGCGGGTGGATAGTCTTCCGGAGGCAGTGACGAGAACGACGTGCGCAGCCACGACGACGGCGACGTGACGGCGACGTGCGACGTCTAGCATCTCCGCCCGACCATGGCGGTGAATCCGCGTGATATGGACGGCTTCATGCCGCTCCTGTCAACGACGGATATCAAGAAGAAGCTCAACGTCGGTACCGCGCTGCTCAACTTCCTAGGTGACTTGAGCAAGAGCATCGAATGCCAGGACATCGGCATGTTCATCGACAATGTTATTCCCTGGCTCGGCAACGGCAATCCCAAGGTAAGCGTTTGGCGACGACGATGATGTCTAAGGTCGCTCGCGTCGAGTCATTCTGAGTGTACCTAACCTTCACCCGCGGCATTTTTTCCGGCTACTTTCACGTTATTTATAGATACTTAGTTTTATCATATTTGTTCTCCACTTTATTAAATGCTAAAATTAAAACAGAGATGGAGAAACTCGATTTTTTTCTCCTCCCAAAGTGATGCACGAATGGCTGCTTTTCTAGAATGTCGATAAACTTTTATTGATAAAAGGATAAGACTGTGAATATATTTATAAAAAAAATTATTTATCGTTATTACTAGTGTTATTTATCGCTTTGAAGATTACGTCAAGAATAACATTTATTATATTTTAGGGATTGTTGACATCTGCTTTAAAAACGAGCTGCTCTTTACGCGCTGTTCTATATTTAAAGATGAATTATAATTGAGAAAAGGATGAAGCAATATGAATTCGAATTAACTCACCCTTAACCTTGCATAACTAAAGTTTTTTTACTTGTAAAACAAGATTACGGGTTAAGCGGGCAACGTTGATTAAATCATTGGCTACATTCAGCAAAAAAAGCAGTTTTACAGCTGTTGTAAGATTCTTTAATATAATTAGTTCTTAATTTTTGTCCTTAGTTCCTCAGGGATCTAGATATATAAACAAGTTATATTAAAGAATCTTACAACAGTTATAAAACTTCTTTTTCTGCTGAACGCAGCCATTAAAATATATAAAAAATATAAAATATAAAATAAAATATATAATATAAAATAAAAAATATAAAATATAAATACTTAAAAAATATAAAAATATATGAGTATGCCCCATAATATAACTTAACCCATAACTGGAGCAAATAGGTTTGGTGACTTTAAGACTATTCTTAAATAGTCGAATATAAGAAATATAAGAATATTATTAAAAAGTAATTTTTAAATAGTTTAATAATTAATTTGGAATAATTTTCTAAACATATTTTTAAAGCTTATTTTTGTAAAGTAATAATACAAAGGCAATATGAACAATTAATTAATAGGTGTGTTAAGAAGTAAAAATAAAATAAGTTATTATTAAATATTATAGGGACTGTTTTAAACTCATAGAATCTTCTTCAGCCAAAAGAATTAAATAAATATCGTAAATAAAAATCAATTAAAAGAGGACCGTAATTGATAGAAAATTAAAATCTAACGAGTTATTAAAACAAACTAAAGTCACAGAAACATTGTCCAAACAAATATGAATACCATCAGTTAATTAAATAAAAGAAGGAACAAATAAGTGTATCAGACATATAAAATGTAAAATGCATTGCATATTATCTTGTTGAAAAACATAGTTGGCTCCTCGAATTGAGAGAGAAAAAAAAATCTTGTCCGGGACAATTAAAATGTTAAAATCGTCAGAAACCAAAATCTTTTCAGGTCAGTAGAACGTCAAAAGAATGGCATTTTGTAAAGATGACATACATTTCTCAGATCGTTGTTATTGTCGCAAACCAGTCTGCGAGAACTTACTTACAACTACCGAATATAGTCCGGTGAATGTGTAGGTGTATCATCTTTTCCAATATGCCATTCTTCTGATCTGAGAGCTTAAGATCTTCGTTTCTGATTTTAACATTTTGACTGTCCCGAACAAGATTCTTTCTCAGTATAATAAGGTCTGTTCTTTTTTTATCGATGAACTCTCTGAATTGATACCCAGTGCAGTAAGTTGAAGTGAAGGGCCTTAGTGTCACAAAAAATATGTATTCTTGTTACGGATTAAAATCACATGGTGGTACAAAGGATTAACACCCAATCGAAGTCAATCACGTTGGATTCGCGGCCGCGAGGTCTTCTAGTCGAGCACATGACGCGAGCGGTCCATAAATGGAGAAAGGAGACGATTGATCAGTCGCCATCGCCTGCCTTCGGCGCGCTCCGTAAAACGCCGCTTTTTCGCGCTCGCACGTGAGAACGTTACCGCCCCTGTTCTCACCTGTGCGTCGCGAAATGGGAACAACCGATTTAGCATCTGTGTGGCACGGAGCAACGCGCTGGAGTAAGTAGTCCGGTGCCGATGAAAGTGCCATTTGTCATAATTTACTGCTGTTTCCTCGCTGTGAATGACCAGCATTCGTTCAATTTTTCTTCTGCTTATTTTCTTCGATAAGTTCAAGTGACCCTCCGGGACAAAAATAATACATCTCTTTATGGTTTTACGACTCTCGGAACTTGTGTTTACCTTTTCTATCTTTTCTCAGATATCTTGATGAATATTTTATTTGTTGGTTAACTTGGACTTAATCTGACGATAAAGTAAAAACTGTATTTTTCTATCTATGGTAATCAATTGATGGTTTTGTAGTGAATAACTTTTAAGTCTTCATAATAGGTCTATTCTTTTTCTATACGCTAGGACTGAATTTCTTTGCACACTTTATTTTCTTCTTATTCTTATTCTTTCCACGTTGGAGAGAAAAAGATAAAAAATAAAACGTGCAAGAAATTCAGTTCTAGGGTATGGAAAAAGAACAGACCTTATATATGGTTACCTAAAGAGTAAAGATTATCAAGAAATTCATGAATGAATTTCATTGATGAACCTTTGATCTTTAGGTACAATATAATCATTTATTGTGAAAACCTTAAAAACTAAACCATTACAAAACCATTAGTTTAGTGATTAATCATAACTAGAAAACACAATTTTTATATTATTCAAGTTCATCAAGTTAATTTCTTAGTATATACAATGATTTTTTAATCCTTTATTATACATGGTAGGTCATTTGTGTTCCGGATTAATTTTCATCATTTTAACAAATGTACAAAAATTATTAAGTGATTATGCATTTTAAAAAATTCTATATAAATGTTATAACACTGATTATTTGATGCTTCTAGTTTTTCGAAGAAAAGAAATGTGCAGGCCACGATGATCCAATCATGTGTACTAAGGGTTAAGTAAGATTACATCTAAACTACGAGTTAAACAGATAATGAAAAACCGAAGATGATGAAAGCACAAAGCACAAGTCGTTTCGTGCAATACACGATATTGGTCGTTGTGAAGTATTTACTTAACGCCAAGTACTTGCACTTAAACGAAGATACAAGATGAAGATTAGAGTAACTGTGATGGTGTTTAAAGGGATTTAAAGCGTCGTGATCGGCGCTTTAAATGCACGAGTATTCAGCGAGAGATATATAGCTGTTTACTCTAAAGATTCAATTATCTTACTCTGTAAGATCAATGTCGCGTCATCACATTTAAGACTCAATGCTAATAAACGTTGTAAATTATAACGCCGTGCGCGATGTAAACAATCCTTCGAATGCAGCGAGGCAGTAATGTGTTCATCATTTATTTATTATTGAGAACATGTCTTCCGTTTTATTGCGGTCGGTATTCCGTAACACGATGAAAATCTGAGCAATGAAACTCTACACATGCGTGGTAAATGAGCGTAGTTTGGCGTAGAAAACATTTAATTAACTTTAATTAACAGGAAAATATGAGTTCTTGGGACTCATTAAAGCATTTGTTATTAGTTTTCTTTAAGAATTTTTCTAGTTTAATTATATATATTCTTAATCTATAATCTGGTATAACGCTGTTTGAGAAATACAAATAAAAGTTAAATTAAATTAAATTAAAAAAAATAACACAATTAAATTAAATGAAATATTATTGATAGAATTTGTTGATTCTAAATCTTGTCCAATATAAACACGTTGAATTTTTTTTTTTAGAAAACTTTAATTCTTTTTTTAAATTGTTACCAGGGTCCATATGTTTCAGTTACGGATTAATGTGCCATTTCTACCAGATTATCTTCTGTATCTTCTGCAGATTAACTTTAATCTTGGTTCAACTTACTCTTCATCTTTTTCTAATTCTTGAACTAAAAAAAGATGAAGAGTTTGTTGAACCGAGATTAAAATTAAACCATATTGATAGAAACGGGCATAACACGTTGAGCTTTTCTTGCGTATTGCGCAAGAAACGCAAGCAACGCGTACTTTCGTAAAGATACTGTATAGGGAAAGCGGGATGTTTATACATTGACACAGTAAGCCTTTAATCTTTATTTCCTGCGAATGTGGATATGTCGAATTTCGACCGCATTCATCCGACGCACAATGCACTATTGAACACAAGAATCGGAGAATAAAATATGTACGTAATGAGACGATATCTATACAAGGACTGAAGCGAAAGTAGAATAAACATTCGCGCGTTTAATTAATTAGACGAACGAGATAAGGGATATAAACGTGAAAATATCATTTATATCATCGTAATATATGGAGATAATTGACTGCGTTACTGTGAATTGTACTTCTATATTTGTTCCTCATATCTTTTTTTATGGATGTTTATCTTCCCCTCCTCATAACTGTTATATTACATTAGATCTCACTCGATCCTAATTTTGTATGATCGCCGGCCAGGGTGTGTCGAGTGACAAACTTATTACCTTATGTGCGTGTGTGCGTGCCAGGGGTTCTCAGTCGTCCAGTTTTCATACACTGTATGCAACCTTTGAGGGGAGTCTAAAATCGTTTGTTTTATCGATTCAATAGGACCTACACACATACGATTTACATATCATTGATGTATTGTTATACATTACTACATCAACATCACACGCACATACACGTACAAAATTTCTAATTATTTGATCTTTAATATTATACGCTGAGAAAAATTATCTGGTTGGATTAAAGTAACAGTAATTTTGAAGGAAAATGGACGAATCAGAATTTTCTGGTTAAATCTACTAGAATTCGAGTTAAGGAAGCTAGAATTCTGATTGATATAATTATTCTGGTAAAAATAAGAATTTTAGTAGATTTTACAGAAATATGTATCAATCAGAATTCCGGTTATCTCAACTAGAATTCTAATAAATTTAACCAGAAAATTTTCTAACTTCTTTTCGTTTTTTACTTAAAATCGAGTTTGGAGACTATATTATCGTTTATATTTCAATTGTAAAAAAGGATTTTTAA